TTCCTTATCTTTTTGCCATACATGCATTCTCTTCAAATATGACCGTAGACAGGTTTCATATGTTCTGTTCTTAACAAGAAGGAAAGCAATTGATTCCTATCTATTCTTCAGATTCTCTTACATTCTTCCCAAGATTTTGGCTCATTAAGAGCCACATTAAAAAGGAGGCCTATGCCAAAATTTTCATTGCCAATTACCTATGAATGGTTTTCTCAAAATTTGAGTGGTAATCTAATTACTATGACTCGGTTGTGGGTTGTTGAGGTTCTTATGAGCTTTAGTAACTTTCTTCACTTCAGAGAGTTTATGCAATTCATTGGGTGAGGCTAGATCGGTACTCCTCAGTTGAGAAAGCTTATACAGATGGAGTAGGACGTTTGGAGAAATTAGTGGCTAGAGTACACGACATTGACGTGTGAGTAACTGTTATACTTATTTTATCTATGAGTACATTTTCCTTTTGTAGTTTCATTTAGACCATATTGATCCGATTTCCAATTGTTAGCCCAAGGCTATCTCCAGGTTCCATGAATCTACATACTCGCCAATTTGGTCCTCCCTTAAAGAACTCGAACATGACAAGCGAGGCGTACAAGAACATAGTAAATCATGCAAAAGAACATATAGCCGCGGGGGATATTTTCCAGATTGTATTAAGTCAACGATTTGAACGCCGAACATTTGCTGACCCATTTGAAGTTTATAGAGCCTTGAGGACTGTAAATCCCAGTCCATATTTGACTTACTTGCAGGTTTGTGTCTTTTTCCTTGCGAATTTCTTTTTGGTTTGGCCAATATTTGTAAGTTTAGGATTACAATTTTTGGTGACTTTTTATCTATATCCACGTAGGCTAGAGGGTGTATCCTGGTTGCTTCAAGTCCAGAAATTCTAATGAGTGCAAAAAAGGTAAATATAACAAACAATTTTTATGCATTTGTTTAGTTTTCTAGTGTTTTTCCTTGGTGAAATGGGAATGTTCATATTTATAATGTGATAAACAGAAAAAGATAATCAATCGGCCATTAGCTGGAACTTGCAGAAGAGGGAAGACAACTGCAGAAGATCAAATGTTTGAAGAGCAGCTACTTGATGATGAAAAGCAATGTGCAGAGCACATCATGCTGGTTGATCTGGGTCGGAATGACGTTGGAAAGGTTTCTCTTAAACAATTACCTAATCTTGTGAACATTATTGTGCAATTACTCAACTTTCAGCTCTTCCTTAACTTATATATAATGTCTTGGTTGGATAAAAGTAATTGCAAGTCATCTTTCATGTTATGCATACTCCATTGTTGCTTGTTCAAGTTGATTATTGGAAACTAAAATGTCAAACTTTTTAAACTTGTATTGGTAATGTGGCTTGATATAGGTCTGCAAATTCGGCTCCGTGAAGGTAGATAGATTGATGGAAATTGAACGGTATTCCCATGTAATGCACATAAGCTCCACGGTAAGACTATGCCTTTAGATGATGTTAAGGGAATGACTTGTCACTGCAGTTCTCTGTACTTGTTCAAATTATGTGCGACATTAGGTTGCCAATGGAAGGAAATTGATGTATTGTTTGTGAAACCTTTTTTTTTTTTTTTTTCTTTTTAATAAATAAATTTCCGGCAACTTCCTCTTTCTCCGATTTGGTTGAGTTTGGGGTCGGTTAGGGCTTTTGTATTCCGACCTCTTCTCCTTCCTTTGATCACAATGTGCACTCAGATCCAAATGTTGTGGTTTCTAAATGTTCCATAGTTAAGGAAAAAATTACTTTTACAATCTGTTTTTGGTATAGAATTACTTAGAATCTGTTTCCAGTGAAAATATCACAATCTCTGGTGCAGGTTACGGGAGAGCTGCAAGATGATCTCAGTTGTTGGGATGCCCTTCGAGCTGCATTGCCTGTCGGAACTGTTAGTGGTGCACCAAAGGTTACCAGTTAACTTTTACTTCTTCCCTTTGCAATACCTTCCTAAAGTTTTAGAAATCTTCTCCTCAATCTTATCATCGTTTGTGATCTAATGTAGGTGAAGGCCATGGAGTTGATTGATGAGCTGGAGGTAGCAAGGCGTGGCCCGTACAGCGGTGGATTTGGAGCGGTTTCCTTTTCTGGTGACATGGACATTGCGCTAGCTCTAAGGACCATGGTGTTTACAACAGGATCCCGTTTCGACACATTGTACTCTTACAAAGATGCCAGCCAGCGCCGGGAATGGGTCGCCCATCTTCAAGCTGGTGCTGGTATTGTGGCTGACAGTGATCCCGATGACGAAAACCAAGAGTGCCAGAACAAAGCTGCTGGTCTTGCTCGTGCCATTGACTTGGCTGAGGCAGCATTTGTTGATCAATGATGTCTGTTTTGATGGCTCAAGTAGATGGAGCTGTGACCTTCAACAACGTGTTTATGAAGTTCTCAGGCACCCACAGTTAATGTCAACTTGTCAAGAGAAAGTATACATAGTTCGTAATATGCGTTCAGCAACCAAAGGCAGAACTCTTAAAAGAGTAGGAATAATACGCATGATAGTGTATAATATTTACCTTTCAATATAATAAAAGGGTTCGGATTTAGAACTCAATTTAATGGATTGCCCCAAAAATTCTGAAATATCTGAATCTCCTTTCTAAATTCACCTCAAATCACAATTGGCTAAAAATATTTTATAGTAAAAATATAAACCTGCATCTGATTTTAGCTCAAGTGGCGTGGTTTGGGTTTGCTTATGTTCAGGTCTTCAGGAAGGGTTGAAAAAAGATGAAAAGAAAAGCACCCATGTTTTTTTTCAAACATCCCTTGGCATGCATAATTTTTTGGTGAAGTGATCACCAATGGCTGTAGAAGACTCGACAACCTCAAAATCATGACTTGCAATCTAATAAAATATTGTTACGACTAAGAACAAAGAAAAAATAGGTCATTTGAATTCGACCAAGAGATGGCCAGCATTTATTTAACACCAACGCAATTCTTTGATCAGATTACTTGACTAAGATTTTCAGTATGGAATTAAGAGCAAAGACGGCTTGGTAATTAGGGTGAACTCTGAAGTCTGATCTACTAAGGCAGCTGCCGCAGGCTTGTGCTTACTGAGATTGCCAAACCGGCTTTGATTGCCTTCAAGGATGCCATAGATGATGATGATGTTCTTGGAGCACACTAAGCTCATGGAATAACTCACTTGGCTTTGATTCATGTAAACCGGCCTCGTATAGTTGCCAGCCAACATTGTCAGAGAGTAACCGTCCTCAACCTAGAATTCCAGAGATGGGGGAACTGTTGGCCCCTTGTGTAGGAATATGCTCACCCATGTTGCAAGAAATACACCCTTTCAGAAATAGCAATCTCTGCTTGCCGGCTGGGTTTACCTTAAAAAAAATCAAGGGGAGCTGTGTCGGGTTGGGCTATTCTCCATCAATCATATCCTACAGACAGACATCAAATCTAAATCAGAGAGGAAACATGTCATCTCTGTTGCTCTACCACTTCACAAAGAGACCTCCTCATTTCACCACCTAATGCTTACAGACACTAAGCTGGCTAACTTTTGTAAAGAAATTCCACAGGAGCAATGCCACACAGCTCCAGAGAGGCTGTAAAGCTCTTCGTGATTGTACTGACAAACAAGGGGAAGCCAAACCAGGCATGAAATTAGATGCTTTCCATTATCTAAATGCAGCACAAATATGACATCGATGAACAAAACCGATAACTTTCTTAAGGATTTCAACTTCCAACTCCATCCCAAAGTTAGAGTAACTAGAAACAATCAAATTCTAACCACTAGAGCAGCAGGTTTCCTCCGAACCCTTATAAGTAGAAACAATCAAATTTTGGGGAAGATTTCATCTGATGACTGCTCAGCTAAAATTCAGAAAGTCCACTATCTCTTAGAAACCTAATAATACTGAACAATTAAAGCTTCCATGGGGTGCTGAACTACAATCCTTAAGCACTGCCATAATCACAACCCACCTTGGATCACCAAAAAAATAATTGTAACATATTCAATGAGATTATGGGTCATTTATACTTCAAGCATACGAACTATCATGAAGTTTTCGAAGCACGCAATCGACTGAGTAAAGCAATTGGATCTTACTTGAAATTAATCAATCCAAACTAGATCAAATTTATCCCCAACATTAAACAACTTGTAACACTCAGTTTAATTGAATCAGAAATTGCAATAAACCCTTACAGTAAAGCAGCTCAATTTAACACCTAAAAGAAAAATCAAAAGCCAGAAATGGAAGGTAATTCAATTGACATCTGATCGTTACCAAACAAAGAGTTTAATTGCTGCAAAGACGAAGCACCATACGATCTGAAAATTCATTTACAGAAGATGAAACACAAACACATAACGAGTCCACCGAATTTTATGCACGTACAAAATTACAAGGGGTATGAACACGAGCGTCGGAGCTCTCACTCACCTATGGGCTATAGCTCTTTGGCTCACATCAGAGTAGTAATCTGACCAAATTGCCCCTTCCCCCATCACTTGTTGCTATCGTAATCGACGACCTCGGAGTCGGTGACGGACCTCGAGTGCTGCACTATGGACCGTCCGATCGAGTTGATCCAGTCCTCCTTCTCCTTCTCCGAGTCGGCGATGAAGTACATGGTGTCGGAGCGCGTGGACAGCTCGAACGCGTACTGCTTGTTGAGGACGTCCTCGGCTCCCTTGACTGTGAGGCAGGAAGCCACTGGGATCACGCCACGTGGGCTGGAGCCGCGGGTGACGGTTGAGTCCTTGAACCAGAAGAGCTTGCCTCGCTTGAGCACGAACCACCGGCGACGCCACGTCTTTATGTACTCGCCTTGCTTGGTCAACCAGCCGGTGCGTTCAGGGTTTAACCAGAACTCCACTCCGTCGTAGTCGTTGGGCTTCTCCGTCCGGCCCGTCGCGGCTCGCCATAGGCTCGCCATCGGACTTTGGGTCAGGTTCGGGTTGGCTTTCAGAAGCGCTGAATTGAATCGCTTGCGGACGGAACGGAACCGTAAAGGTAGGAGAATTATAAATAAAAATCTGTCCGTACCTGACCAAGAGAATTAAGATTTTTATCTTATATTTTTACTTAATTTTACATATTTTGGGGAACAAATGTGAATGTGGTAATGAATGATTTAGCCCATGAAGATTGTAAAATTGAAAATGGATCCAGTTGACTTTTATTTATCCCCTTAAAAAGTTCAATTTCTAGTTTAGGTCCTTTTGTGATTTATAATATAACCCATGTGGATCAAGGGCACAAAATAACCTTCACACTAGTTATTTGATGGTATTGTCATTGGACCGTTCGGTATTAGGTGCAACATTAAATTATTTATTTATGATAATTAAGATTGGGCAGCTGTACATTTCTAATGATGTTGAACAGGTTGGCCATGCTTATGATGTTGAACAGCTGTACAATTCTGAGAGCATCATGTGTACCATATGACTTGGTTTCTCCTTTGGTAACTAGTAAAAGAAATAGAATATGACTTCCTTTTTGCTATTTCTTCTGTCCTTGTATCTAATTATTTTTCTTGCACCATAAGACAAGCAGAACACCATTAAATATTACACTGGCAAATGTACATGACGTGAACGTATTCTAGTATCATATAATAATTTCTAACTTCTTATTTAGTTTCTTCTTAGTCGCTCTCAATGGATATCAACGCCAATGAAAGCATTTTGTATATGGTGCAGGTCCCTGGTGACATCCTGCATATTCATTCTATGTTTTGGTGATTCTTCTGAGCATGCAAGTCCAATCTTAAGGATTGGAACTATGCACTTGCTCACATATGGGCTCATCTTGCCTAGCTTCTCAAAGTTGATGTTTTCTTCTTCTGCCTTAATTTCAATGTTGTAGCCACTGATGTAGTTTACTTCATTTTATGTTGCTACAGCAGGAGGTGCTTTCTCTTCTACCGTGGCGAGGAGAGCCGGGTAAAAAATTTGCATAACTATTTCTGGTATTGCCATCTTAACAAAGTTATGGAGACTGAAACCATCTTTGGACATTTCTTCTGTGGGTCTTCTTCCTGTGAACATTTCCAATACAAGAATCCCATAACTATATATATCCCCTTGTCTTGATGGCTCACCACCAATTGCATACTCTGCAACTCATAAAACAATCAAAGTTTGGCAGTTTAAGATTCAGTTGATAGAAATTTAAGAAATTTAAGAAGTTCTAAAGTAGTAGGAGAGTTTACCTGGAGCAACATAGGCAATGGTTCCCTTAATTCCAACTGTGCTGCTTTGATTTTCAGAGGAATGCGTGGCGGTTGATATGAGTCTTGCTAACCCGTCACCTACATGAGCAATCACGTCATTGTCAAGAAGAACGTTGCTTGGCTTCAAGTCACAGTGAATGATTGGTGGTTCACAATGGTCATGGAGAAAATACAATGCAGAAGCCACATCAACTGCAATGTTTAATCTTTGATGAAGCTTCAGACTCCTTGATTGATTTTCTCAGTGCAACCACTCCTCTAAGCTTCCATTTGACATATATTCGAAAACTAGAGCTTTGAATTCGTTACCATTGTAATCCACGCTGGAGCAACATGTTAAGATCTTAACAAGTGCATTGCATTCAGCCATGAAACTCTTGGAAGCTCCATTCTGTTGGAGGTTCAGGACCTTTATAGCAACTAACCTTTTCTTCCTTATCAAGAACCCCTTTATAGACACAGCCAAAACTACCTGATCCAATTAGAGTGTTTGGAATGAATCCGCTGGTAGCTTTATAAAGTGTCTCATATGAAACCTTCGAAAGGAATTTGATTGATGAGACTGCAGATGGTGATTTCTTTTCGGGTTTCCTCCTCCAATACAGTACAAGCAAGAATGAAAACAAAAGAGAACATCCAAGCACTAAAGCAATTATGAACTCTAGGTTGAAACTATGGATCTTTCTCTGTTCTGGTCCTTTGATGGGGCATGCTGGAAGCTGCAGTTCCAAGACACCACCACAAAGTTTGGTATTTCCAACCAATGATATTGTGCTTGTGTTTCGAAAGGCTCCTTCTTTTGGTACCTCACCCTCCAGATTATTGAAGGAAAGGTTCAAATACAGCAAGAAAGGAAGTCTCTGCAGATCTTTTGGAATTTGACCTGACAAGTTGTTTTATTGAAGATCTAAACGCCGAAGACCATTCAAAGAAGCCAAAGAAGAAGGTATGATTCCTTGAAAGAGATTCCCTTGAAGGTAAAGAAATTCAAGGCTCAGACAGTCTCCCATGTTTTCTGGAATGTCTCCAGTCAGATTATTTTCAGAGACGTCCGGTGCATTGATATTCTTTAGTTTGCCCACTCCCACAGACAGGCTGCCAGTTAGTGAGTTATGTGATAAATTGAGCAAGACAGATAAGGAGGAAAGACCAATGACCTGAGGTGGTATCTCTCCACTAAGGCTATTCTGTGAGATATCCATGTACTGCAAATATTGGCAGTCTCCAATACTTGGAGGAATGCTTCCTTCTAATTTATTTCCTGATAAGTAGAGTTGAAACAGTTGAGAGAGGCTTCGTATGGAAGATGGGATCTGTCCTGATAATCGGTTTTCATCTAAAGCCAATATTTGTAGCTGTTGGAACTTCCCAAAAGAAGTAGGAATGGAACTTGTGAACAGGTTAGCCTGCATGCCCAAGACTATCAAGTTATTGAGATTTTCTAATGTTGCAGAAATCGTTCCGGATATTTGATTGACTCCAAGGTAGAGTTTAGTGAGTTGGGTTGACAAATTGGCTATAGAGTTGGGTAAAACACCTCCAAAATTGTTCGAACTCATATCAAGAATTTCCAGGTTGCTGCAATTAGTCAAGGATGTTATAAAACCCAAGTCATTATCTGAATAATTTCCTAGATTATTGTTGCTCAAACCAAGCCACTGGAGATCTGCAAGATTTCCAAAACTTTCTGGACTTGCCCCAAAAAATTATTTTCTGTAATATCAAATGTTCGAAGCTGAGAAGCATTCGAAAATGAAGCTGGGATCTTCCCAGAGAATTCATTTCCACCAATTCCGATCTGTTGGAGATTAGGCATGTTGAGGCCTATGTTAGGTAGAATGCTGCCCTTGAATTCATAATCTGTAAGTGAGAAGGTGTTCATAGATGATATATTAAAAAGGAGGAAGGGATAATACCAGAGAGATTATTGGGCCCAATTGCAAAAAAAGATAAGCTTTTCAGCAGGCATAATTCCTCTGGAACATTGCCCACCAAATTGTTGTATGCCAAGGAAAGTTGTGTGATTGATGAAAGATTTCCCAAGGAAGATGGAATGCCTCCTGTCAGATTGATTGTGCCAAGGTTGAGTGTCAAAAGCTTTGTCAACGAGCCAAGTATTTTGCCTGTGAGACGGCTTGATCTGAAACTTATGATGCTCGGTCAAAGCAGAAAAATCTGGCATGAGTTCGGTGTTTGGTAAACCCAAAAAAACATGCTTATTTTAAAAACACCCATCATAAAAAGCAAAAACTCAAAGTCACCAATATGGAGCTTAGAAGAATGAACAAAATGGTTTGTTAAAGTTTCTCTCCTCTTAACTTTAACTCACATCTTTTTATATGATGTTAAATTGACGATGAAAAGGTGTGATTTACTACTTAGGCCATGATAATATATGTTCTCTAGTCATCCTGGTTACAATTAGTACATCCCTTACTAGACATAATCCTGCTACAACAAACCGTATCATCTATACATCTATACATAATAGATGATACGATTTGTTACTGTCACCTAGGATTTCAAAGCTGCTCTTCAACTGGTAGTCAAAGAAAAGAGAAGGACAAACTGATTATGTATGCTCGAAAGAAAGAATCTGAATGGAACAAAAACTGACGTTAGATTTGGAAAACTCCACTTCTTCCTTGACTCTTGACCCCATAGCCAGTGAGGCTCAGTCTGAGTAGAAAACTCTCTGTTTCAAATTCTGATTGTATCGTTTTGATGCTACATTATTCATTTCTGCTAGCTGTAAAATGTAACTGAGAGTTTGATTAATTAAAAAACATAACATCAACAAATAGGCCTAAATTCCTGATGCAGTCGTGTTGCTTAGGCGGCGATCTTATGCTTTCTAGGAATCCAGTTTCCGGTTAGTACATCCCTTGCTAGGCATAATTCGTCTACAACATTGCCAATATCCATCCGCTCTCTCAGAAAATCTGCAGAGCAAGCAACTCCTATCCTCGCAAGGATAACCAAGCACTTCCTTACTCTTTGTCCTTGATCATCTTCGATATTGTTCCTATTGTTTGTGGCATTACTACGAGTGCTGCTTTCTTTTCTTTGAAGAAGCACCGGATCACATATTTCTTCTACACGTTCAGGCAAAGCCATTCTCACAAAGTTGTGCAGGTTCAGATCATCTTTAAACATTTCATCCGTAGGCCTCTTGCCTGTAAGCATCTCCAATAGCAGGATTCCGTAGCTATACACATCTCCATATATTGACACATCGTTTCCCACACCGTACTCTGTAATTTGTTGGCACAAAAACATATGGATCATACTGTTATAAGCTAAAAAGCAAAAGAAGTTATTACTTTCTTGTATATGTTAGAAGGAGGTTGAAGCAAGAATCCAACTTACCCGGGGCAATATAGCCTATGGAACCCTTTATGACATTGGAAGTGTTTTCATGTGAAGGAAGTGAACGTGAAGCATCCGGGAGGTACTTTGCTAAACCAAAATCAGCAACACAGGCAGTCATGTCACCTTCCAGGAGAACATTGCTGGGCTTTAAATCACAATGAACTATTGGCATGTGAGAGTGGTTGTGCAAATAATTCAGAGCATTGGCTACATCAATGGCAATGCTTACCCTCTGAATAAGATTCAAATGCCCCTGCACAATGGGTGCCCCAGCTACTCTGTCAGCTGAAATGTGCAGCCACTCTTCTAGACTACCATTCATCATGAATTCATAAACCAAAGCTTTAAAATCGTTTCCTTGAAAATCGATACTTGCACACGCGGTCAATAGTTTGACAATATTTCGGTGCCTAATGTTTTTCAAGGCTTCACATTCAGCTATAAACCTTTCTCTTGAACTCTGAACATTGAGTACTTTGACTGCAACAATTCTTTCTTCCTCATTGAGAATTCCCCTGTACACAGAACCAAAACTACCAGCACCAATCAAATTCCGAGTAGAAAAACCATTAGTTGCTTGGAGGAGATCTGCATATGACACTTTCAAGACTGAAACCCCCCATGATGATCCTGAAGTTGGCTTCACTCTTGCTTTTCTTGATATATAAAGACGCACAAAGCGCAATGCTTTTTTTGATAAATTAAGAAGCACAAAGCACAAGAGTAAGCCAAGTCCAATAACTCCCCCAATAGCAATTGATGTAAGTACTCTCCGCCATGGAAATAATTCTGTCTTAGTTTCTTGCTTAGATTCATTGGAAATAATTCGGCGTCGGGGCAATCCTAGCAGACACATACCTCCACATAGCCTTTTGTTTCCCATGATAGAAAGCACACTTGTATTTCGGAAAACTCCTCTCGTCGGTACTGCGCCTTCTAAATCATTAAATGATAGGTTCAAATTTCGTAAAAAGTTGAAACTCCCCAAATAGTTGGGAATTCTTCCAGACAAGTTGTTACGAGAAAGGTCAAAATCTTCAATTCCTCTCAGAGAACTCCAATCTTCAGGAATGGTCCCTCGCAAAAAATTTCCTTCCAAATGCAAACTTTTCAAACTCATGCAATTCCCTATAGCGTTTGGAAGCTCGCCAGATAATTTGTTTTCGGAAAGATCCAAGGAAGTAAGACTCACCAAGTAACGCACGTCAATGGGAATGGAACCAGTAAAATGGTTACTGGATAGATCCAAAACTAGTGACAAGGATGACAAACGGATGACTTCTTGTGGAATGGGACCGCTAAGATTATTTTGAGAAAGAACCAAAGCTAGCAAATTCCTGCATTCACCAAGACTTGGCGTTATGCTTCCTTGTAAGTGGTTTGACATGAGATTTAATCTGCCTAACGAAGTTAGATTGCCTAGAGAAGATGGAAGAGCACCTGACAGCTCATTGTGATTCAACAACAGATCATACAGTTTATTTAGATTACATATTGAGCTTGGTATACCGCCCCTCAATAGGTTTACCTTAAAGTCTAGAACCCCCAAGTTGATGAGATTTCCAATCCCAACAGGAATGCTACCGCGTATCTGATTCATTCCCAGTTTCAGTACCGTGAGCTTTGTTGAGAGGTTGCTGATAGAGTCAGGTAGCAGTCCTCCAAAATTATTCCCACTAATATCCAAACGCTCTAAATTGGTGCAATTAACAAGAGAAGACAGAAAATCCAAGTCACCATCCTCATTATTTCCAAGACTGTTACTCTCCATTTCTACCCGAAACAGATTGGAGATCCTTGCCAGACTAGGCACTCTTCCGGTAAAAATATTTCTTGAGATTCCAAAAAATTTAAGGTTGGATGCGTTGGAGATTGTAATTGGTATTGGTCCACTGAATCGGTTCATATGGAACGAAAAGGATTCAAGGTTTGGAAATATAGTGTGGCCCAAGCCAGGAGGAAGAGTTCCATGAAGTCGGTTTGCAAGCACAGAAATGAGTTTAATTGAAGAGAGGTTGTATATGGAGGGAGGGATTGTGCCATACAAATTATTTGTACCCAATGCAAGATATTTTAAACTTTTCAACTGGCCAAGGCTACTTGGAATACCTCCATGCAGATTATTTTGTTGCACATATAGCATCTCAAGAGAAGAAAGATTTGAAAGGGCAGATGGGATTTCCCCACTTAAATTGTTTGTGCCTAAATTAAGTACCTGAAGCTTGGACAATGAGACAATTTCAATTGGAATTTTGCCACTAAGAGTGTTTCCAGATAAACTAAGGTATTGGAGGTTAGAGCAACGCGGTATGCTGGATGGAATAGCACCACTGAAGGAGTTGTTATCAAAACTCAGCATCTGTAGCCGGAACAAACGACCAATTTCTTGTGGGATGATGTGGTTGAATAGATTGTTTTCGAGGCGCAATGTCCTGAGAAAGCTCAAGTTTCCAATGTGGGGAGATAGGCGGCCCTGCAGCCGGCTTGATCGGAGGTCCAGCCCTGTGACTCTCTGGTGTCTGCGGCCACAAAAAATGCCTGGCCATTCACACAAGTGCAGGGATTCGTTCCAGGAGCTGAGGATGCCCATGCTATCACTCATGATTTCAGCTTTAAAGGCAAGCAAGGACAGCTCATCCACCTCAAGTCCTACTAAACGTGAGAAGGCTGAAGTTAGGAGGAAGAGTTGTATGAAAATTAACCAAACTCTTATAACCATACTTGGAGGGAACCCCATTTACGCTGCAAAGTAAAGCTCAAGTTATGAATCTGAGGCAAGACTTATGCATGAAAATTACAACTTGCAAGTGCAACGACTCTAGCTCTTGATATTTAGGTAACTAGAAACAAAGGTTTTCATAAACAATTTGGTAAGTGATGAAAGCCATTGTTCTTGTAGTGAGAAAGAGAAAAAGAAATAAAGAAACAGATTGAATAGGGAAGAGTTTGATGGTCTCTGCTTACTAAAGACTTAAAAAATTGAGTTGACGAGAGGAAAGACTTAAAAAGTTGACGTTGACGAGAGGAAAGACTGTCAATCCAGCAATCACAGCCGCTATTATTACTCTTCAAAATAATAACAGTAAGTGGACGTAAATTTAAAGACTTAAACGTTGATGTTGACAAGAGTAATCTGTAGTGAACTTCATAAGCAGAGACAAATGGTGGCAAATGGTTGACTACAAATTGGTTGGACTAGTTTGTATGAACGTAGTTGAAGGGTTTAGGCAAATGGTGGGACTCGAACAGGTTTAAAGTGGGGGTCAAATAGGAATAACGCGAATTTGCAACTCAGGAAATGATGTTTGGAACCACTTTTTAAAAGCACTTTTATTAGAAGCATGTTGAAATTTGAAAGTTTTATATAATTAATTATTTTTGTCAAACATAATTAGAAGGAATCCCAAATAGCCCTAAATGAGGGTATAAAGACAAGAATTAAATTTAACTCCCATCTTTTTATATGATGTTAAATTGATCATGAACAGAAAAGTGTGATTGAAGAGTGGTTGTAGATGAGGGATAGTTCCAGTCAAGTTGTACCAAGCTGACGCAGCACAAGCAAATAAGGTTTCAAACGAAAACCTTGAGTAACAAGAAAACTGGAATCCACCAGAAATTAAGAGAAACTCTCTTTGATTAATTTGATTAAAATCTGAACTGCCAAAAAACGTTAGACGAACCCGTCTAAATACACAACTCTCAACCCTTGTAACTGCTAGGGGAGTTATTACAAATAAAACTGAACAACAGAATTAATTCGGAGACTTAACTACGTAACTCCGAAACTGAAAAAAACAGAATTTATTTTGGGAATTAACTATGTAACTCCGAAACGGAAAAACATAATTATTTTGGGAATTAACTATGTAACTCCGAAACGGAAAAACAGAATTTATTTGGAATTAACTTCGAACTTCGAATGCAGTTTTGAAAGGCCAAACGACTCACCACGTCCCTTTTCTTGCTCAACCGCGATTAAATCTGCCATCTGTTCTACATCACATATATACAGTGCAGCATATATAAAAACAAGCAATTAATTAATTTGACGTATGGTACAAGATTAAAAGGCCAAATATGGCACATCCAATTAGTTTCGCATGCACGAGACGAATATGGGGGTTCATATAATTTTCTTTGTTTCATATAATTAAAAAACAAAGGTTATTTTGGATTGCGAAGGACGAGCGGGTCATCTCTTATCAACCCAATTAGGACTATTTTTTGTATTGAATCATCATCGTCTTCACCATCGTTATTATATACTTTATATTAATTTGCTTGTCATTGTTTTGCAACTGTTTATAGTCAATGTATATCTGATCGTCGTTTGATTTGTTTACTAATACATATTTTAATATTGTGCCTTCAATTAATGATGACAAAGAGATACGGTTGAATTTGTTTATAATATGTTTGGGCTGGTCATTACCCAAACACTAACGTTAATCTTCACCCACCTTGGCTTTGAATAATGCAAAAGAAAGAAATGATTGAATATATATGTTATTTGGCCTTGATGTTGGGTTTATGGAGTCATAGTAATCGGCCGGTCAATGGCCATTGCAGCCCAAAATGTTGGTTTAGTTGATC